TTAGATAATTTAAAAATAGTATAATATTTATTGATTTATTTAATAAAAAAATTTAATTAATTAATTAATATTGATAAGTTTATAAATATATAATAAATAAAATATATTCTAATATAAAAATAAATAAATAAATTTAAATTTCTTCATGATCTTCATCTAAATGCATTTCTATTTCATTAGAAGAATTTTGTCCTAAATTATTTTGTTCAATAGGTTCTGTTTTAATATATATATTATTATTATTATTATTATTATTAAGATTATTGAAATTATTTTTATTATTATTACTATGATTATTTTTATCATTAATTTCTTTTTGATTAATATCTATTCCTAAGCCTATACAAAAATTATTATATAATTCATTAATATTATTATTAAGAGTTATATAATAATTATTTCCAAAATTTTTAATAGTAACCATTTTTTTAATATTATTTAAATATCTTTCAATTTTTATAATAATATTAAGATTTTGATATTCTTTTATTCTTTCATCAGAAATATTTAATTTATTCATTGATTTAATAATATTATGAACTTCAGTTTCTTCTTGAGTTTCTTTTTCATTATTTTCTTTTTGTTCTTTTATTGGATCATGATTATAGTCTTCTAATGTAATTATTTTTTTTAATTTGATAAATTCATTAATACGAATATTTTCTGTATAAGAAATTATAAAAATTATACGTCTTGAATCTAAAAATTTATTTGCAATATCCTTATCATTAGATAATTCATTACTAAAGTAATCAATTAATTTTTTAGCAATAAATTCAATTGCACTTTTTTTTACAGTTTTTTTAGAAATTTCTTCACTTAAAGTAGATTGATATTTAGGATTTTTCATTAAATTTTCATTATCATTATGAATTTTAGAATCAAGTTGGATAATTAAATTATTATTATTAGGATTTTTATCATTGGTATAATTAAATGTAAAATAAAATTCGTTTTTTTTTTTACTATAATATTTTTTTGATTCTGAAATATCTATACTTTTAAGTTCACCAAGTAAAAGTAATAAATTTGTTTTTAATGTTGACATTTTGAAGATAATTTTTTTTTAATTAAAATATTAATAAATTACAGATTCTATATTTATAAAAAAAGGTAATTAATAATTAATATTATTTTTTAAAATTATATTAATAATATTTTTTTTAGTAATGTTTTTATATTTTGTATAATTAATATTTTTATTTTCTAATAATATTTTATTTTTAATTTTTAAAGATAAAAATATAATTTTATTAATGTATTCATATTTAATATATTTACTTAATAAAGCAATAATCATTTCATAATTTATATTAGTAATATATTTTAAATAATTTGTAAATGGTATTTTATATTCAATATCTTTAAAATAATTTATTTCATATTTATCAAGAGTTAAATTAATAATTAATTTAAATATATTTTTATCAGTAATTTTTGGTATTAAAATTTTCTATAATGGTTTTATTAAAAAATCAAAATACTATTTATTAAGTAATATATATTTAATTTTTTTTTCATCAAATAAAAAAATATTATAAATTATTTCAGATGGTAAATTAATCATTTTTTTTTAATTATTTAGTAAAATTAAAAAGTTAGTTATATAATTTTTATAATTAATAATATTAATTTTTATAAATAATCATTATTTAAAAGAAAAAAAAAATAAATAATAAACAAAAATGATTAATTTTATTATTGATATTCTTTTATTATTGAATATTATATTTTTAGTATTAGATATTATTAAAATATTTAAAAAAAAAATTAAAAAAACATTATACATCATTGTCATACCATATAAAAGAAATAGAGAAATATTAATATCAAAAAGATTAGGTAAACTTTATAAAGATTTATACTGTTCACCTGGTAGAAAAGTTGAAAACAATGAGGAAATTGAAAAAGCTGCTAAACGAGAATTATTTGAAGAAACTTGAATATTAGTAATTAATAAACTTGATTTAATAATGATTAATAATTATGAAAATAAATGTGTATATATCTATAAAATATTAGTAATTCAATTATTGTTAAAAACAAAGAACCGAAAAAGCATGAAAATTGGTTTTGGACTAATAAATTTTATAATTATCCATTAATTCCAACAATGAATATTTTTAAAAGAGAAATATTAAAAAATATTACACCAAGATATATTGTCATATCAGGCCCTACAAGTGTTAGAAAAACAAGTATAATGAAATTATTAAAAAAAGAAATTGAAAATAAAGGATTTTCTGTAAAGATCTGCTGTGAATCTATTTTAAAAAGATCAAAATACTTATTAGAATATAAAGAAAAAGATATTTAAAAATTTGAATATGCTTTATTAAATCAATATCATAAACATCAAATTGAAATAGAAAATTTAAAAGATGATTTTATTATTGTTGATCATGAAGTATTTGATGGTGACATTTATAAAGAAATATATGAATTTGATAAAAATATTATTAAAAATGAACATGTTGAATTTAATAATTTAATGATGGTTTTTTTTATTTTATGTAATAAAGAAAATCTTGAAAGGAATTATTATAATAGAAAAGAAAATGAACGAAAACATTCATTAGTTGATTGTAAAAATATTCTTAAAGTATATCAAGAAAAATTTAAGAATAATATTTGTAATGATGCAATTATTATTAATAATGATAGTGATTTTAATTTCTTCTGTTATGGATGTTAAAAAATATATTAATCTATTTTTAATTAAATTATAAATTATTAATTATTTATTTTTTTATAAAAGATAGTTATTTTCTAAATAATTTAATAGTAAAAAAAAAAAAAAGGATTTAAATCAAATAATCAATGATATTGTTTTAAAATATCAAAATATATTTAATATTAATAAAAAACCTGATCCAAAAATTATTATTATTACTGGTCCTATTGAAGCTGGAAAAACTAAATTATCAAATTTTTTAGCTGAATATTTACAAGATAATGGAAAAAAGGTTTTATAAGTAAAGAAATATCTTTAAATTTAAAAGATGAATTAGAGATATATTATAGTATTAAAAAGGTTAATCCAAATGATCAAGAAATAGTTTTTTGGTTTCAAAATATACTTATTGGAGAATATAAAAATTATTATAATAATTGTAAATTTGAAGATTATAATTATGTGATTCTTGATCATTCACATATTGATACAAATTATTTTACATTTGCTGGTATTACAGACAATAATTATAAAAAAGAATGTTTGCCTTATTTGGAAAAAAAATTGAACGAAATTAATTTAAAATATAATCAACAAATTATTAATATTTTTGTTAGAAAAAAAACTTCTATAAAAAGAATTTTAGAATGTGGTCATGAATTTGAAAAAGATATTAATTATTTTAATTTTATTTATGATTCTAACAATAAATATACTGATATAGTTTATTCTATTCATTTTTCTTTTGATAATGATAAAGATTTAAGTGATGATATTTTAAAGTCACATTGGATTGAATATTTTAAAACTAGAATTGATTTAAAATAATTATTAATGTTTTATTATTATTATTATTATTATTATTATTATTATTATTTATATTGAATATTGATATTTTATTATTATAATATTATTTTATATTTATTAATTTTTTATTTTATATTTATTATTAATATTTATTTTTAATAAAAGAACAAATAATTATTTAAAATTTAATTAAAAAAATTAAAAATGTCTAATACAACTGATGAAAAACAAGAAAGTATTTTTGATAAAACTTTTTATTCACATGTTTTTAAAGAGACTAATAAATTAAAAAAAAATGCTTATTTAAGATTAGATGATAAAGATCAGGAATTATTTTTAAATTTATTAGATCTTTATAGTAAACATCTTAGTAATGTTTATAATGAAAATATTCCTGAAGAAGGATCTAATGAATATAATTTGAAAAAAGATTTTTATGATAATATAAAAAAGAAATGTTGCAATAGAAATGATATTAAAAATTTTGAAAAAGCAAGAGAAGAATATAAAGAAAAACAAAAATTTGTTAAAATAGAAATAGAAAATCAAGATATAAAGAAAGAATTACTTGATCAAAAAGCAGAAAAAGAAAGTTTAAACAGAAGAATTGAAGAACAAGATGCACTCATTAAAAGAATATTGAAACGAGTTAATGGAGATATTGAAGATAAGACAGAAATTAAAAAAATTAAAATTAATGATATTACAGATCTTGATTAATTAAATTATTAATATTAGAATTAAATTTAAATAATTTATTAATTTATTATTAATATTAAAAATATATTTTTTTTTATAAATGTAGTTGAAATAGTATGTATTTTTTTACAAGAATAATATGGAGATTCAAAAAAAGAATTCTTCATATTTAAGTACTGATCAAGTAAATGATGCTATTAATAATATTTTAAACTTGAAGATGAAAGTTTTACAAGTGTGAGTTTTCACTAAATGATAAATTTTTAGCATTTATCATGTATGTTTACGCTGTTATAAATATTTATCACTTAAGAATATTTATAATGAAATATATGATATTTAATATAATTTATCACTTGATATTATATTGAATTGATGTTATGATGAAATTATTATTTATTATTATTATTATTATTTAGTTAGTACCTAAAGTATGTGGTCATAAATTTGAAAGAATGTTAGCTAATTTTTTAAATAATATTGGAGGTACTGTATCTATTAGAGAAGTACCTGATGGTGGAATTGATATGAATGGTAAATTTTTTAATGTGCGTTATGAAATGCAAGCAAAATATCATATTGATCCAAAAAAACATCCTGTTGATGTTGGAGATATTCGTAAATTTCATGGTTCTTTTCAAAGAGCTCATAGAAATAATACTGAATATGTTGGAATTTTTGTAACAAATAGTAGATATACAAGTAAAGCTATAAGTGAAGGTAAAAAAATTTTATTTTGGGAATTAATAATTATAAAATATGTTATTAATTTTAATTATATTTTATTTTATAAAATTTAAATTGGTGAGTTTGAATATTATTTTATGATAATTATTTGAAATTAGTATTAATATTTTTATATTTCATTATATAGAAGCTCAAACTTATAATAAAATTTATTTATATACACATAAAGATTTATATGATTTATTGGTTGAATTAAATGATAAAATTATTAAAAATATTAATAATAATGGTATTATAACATTTGAAAATATTGATATTACTAATTTTTCATTAAATTATTCTGAGTTTAGAATTAGTTGTGATCATGTAAGTAAACAGGTGATTATTTTTAATAATATTAAGAGACATCATCCTTATAAATAGAGATAATAATTAATAATAATTTATATATATAAATATTCATATTTTTTTCTTTAATAAATTAATATCATTTTTTTTAATTTTTAAATTTAAATTAAAATGTCTGAATTTACATTTGTATCTAAGGAAATTGATATGCCTGATTCACCATTAACAGAAATTATTGAAAATAATAAATTACATATAGTTTTTTTTCATATAATTTATTCAGATAA